ACAGCCCCAGCCCACATTCTTTTACATCTTCTTTTAAAATGTTTAGTGTCAGCCATGGTGGAACCACAAGGCTATTCAGGTCTTAGGGAGATAAAAAGGACAGAGAAAATAAAGAAATGAGGAAAGGGAAGCTGAGGAACTGGAGGGAGGGGAGATTAGAAGGTAAAATATGGAGATTCTGAAGGAAAAGAGGAGACATTAAAATGAGGGGTGGGGAGAGAGAGATTATACAACAGACACTAAGAGGAGTGAGGATGCTGGTGGGTGGGGTGTGGGAAGATGCTGAAGATCCCAGCATCTGACAGTCCTTGACTCCCATAGTCCTCTTGGCTCTGACAGTTCACCCTTTTATTTATTTATTTTTCTTTGTAGGAAGGGAAAACACCTTGCTTGGTGTGCTAGGCAAGCACTCTACCACAGCACCACCAGTTCACCCATTTTTAAGTAGTCAAAAGAAGTAAATTCTTGGTAAATCTGTAAAGATGTGGTTTATTTGGGCACCTGGATGTGGTGTGCTGTGTGCTCATGACCTTCTCTTGCCTCTGGTGGAGAGCATCGTCTGCACCCCAAACCATTCAAGAACTTGTGAATTTGATGAACTGGTCATTCAGAGAAAATGAATAATCCTAAAGTGTTAAAGAGTGTTGGCTAAACAAAAAAGACTTTTAAAAAAAGATTCAAAAGTGAACAAAATAAATCTAGTAATTCCCGTGCAAAATACTGACATTTTGTTTTATTCATAAGAATATATTTTGCAAGATTAATGGTGAAGTTCGGTATGCTTTTGATTCTCGTCTGGCTTTTTAAAGTATTCCTTCACATGAGATACTGATATATTTATATTCTTTGCTCATTTTTTTTCCTGTTGGTTTGTTTGCTTTTTTATTTGTATGAGTTTATATATTATAGATATCAATCCCTTGCCTATGATATATATGTTGCAAATATTTTCTCCCAACCTCTTTTTTGGCATTAAGTCTTTAATCCATTTGAAATTGATTGTGGTATCTGACACAAGACCAGAATCTAATGGGATTTTTTCTATTTAGAGGTCAGACAATTTTCACATCACCTTTGTTGAGTAATCCAGCTGGTCTCCATTAAAGTGCTTGCTTATTAAGGCTCACATGAGGAAAGGTCCATTTCAGGATCATCTATTGTGATTCAGCCAATTGCTCTGGAAATTCTTGCATACAGACTTAATCACTGTATTATTCTGTGGATTTTTTTTTCACTTCCAAACTTCTTACCGGTTTTCCTATTTTTATTACTATTATAGCTGACATTTGGAATAATTTTATCAAGTTAAGATATAGGTGTTGGTATTTAGGAAGTTTGTCTTAGTGGATGGAGGGTAATGATTTGGATTTGTGTACTGAATTAATCCTTGGTGCAAATGTACATACTCTGTCAGCCTCTTTGATCAGAAATGCTTTCATTTTGCACTCTGAATCATTCCCACCTCATGAGTCCCCACCCAACACAAGGCTGGCCAGCACTATGTCGAATTCATTCATGATATTTTGTTTGTCAGAGTCACTGATGACAACCATAGGAAACAGCTCTGGGACCACATGCTTGTCTTCTCCACAGGTTGTTCTACAGAACCTTATTACATGCCTCATCCTGTTCTACTTCGTGTACTATGTGTCTCTGAGCATGTGCTGCCTGATACTCCAGTAAGTAGCATGTTCTCTTCAATTAAAAAGTTATCATCAAATATAAAAGGAGTTGGTATTTAATATTTGAAATGTCTCTGTGGACAAGGGAATGAAGGTTTCTTTTTTGTAGTTTAACAATTTATCAAGTGTTGTAATTGTAACATGGTTTTTAAATGTTAGAAACTTGTTTACAAAATCTTAGAGTATGTTAAAAAAAAGAAAGAAAAGAAAACATACATGCAGAGCAACAGTATCACTGTTTAACTGAGGAGATAAGCCCTCATATAGTTTGGATCTTTTAAAATTTTTCTCTAATTAGTTATACATGCATTTTGACACATTATACATAAATGCAGTATAACTTCTCATTCTTCTCGTTATATGTGATGTATAATTACTCCAGTTGTGCAGTCATACATGCACATAGGGTAATAATATCCAGTTGATTCCACTGTACTTCCTACCCATACACCATCCCTTCCCTTCACTCCCCACTGTCCATCCCAAAGTACCTCTATTCTTTCCTACCCACCCCCCATTGTGAATTAGAATCTGCTTATCAGAGAAAACATTCTGCCATTAGTTCTTTGGAACTGGCTTTTTTCGCTTGGCATGATATTCTCCAGCTCCATCCATCTATCAGCAAATGCCATAATTTCATTCTTCTTTAAGGCTGGGTAATATTCCATTGTGTACAAATACCACATTTTCTTTATTCATTTATCTGTAGGGGGGCACCTACTTTGGTTCCATAGTTTGGCTATTGTGAATTGAACTGCTAAAAACATTGTTGTGACCTCGTCACTATAGTATGCTGATTTTAAGTCCTTTTGGTATACACAATGGAGAAGGAAAACTGGGTAAAATGGTGGTTCCATTCCAAGTTTTCTGAGGAATTTCCATACTGCTTTCCATAGTGGTCATATCAATTTGCAGTCCCACCAGTAATGTATAAGTATACATTTTCCCCCACATCCTTGCCAACATTTATTATTGCTTGTATTCTTGATGATTGCCATTCTGACTAGAGTGAGATGAAATCTTAGTGTAGTTTTGATTTGTATTTCTCTAATTGCGCTAGAGATGTTAAACATTTTTTCATATATTTGTTGAACGATTGTTTTTCTTCATCTGTGAAGTATCTGTTCAGATCCTTAGCCCATTTATTGATTGGGTTATTAAATTTTTTTTTCACGACCCTGTTATTCTACTCACTTATTTTTATGTGGTGCTAAGGATTGGCCCAGGGCCTCACATGAGCTAGGCAAGCACTCTGCTACTGGGCTACAGCCCTCGCCCAGGTTATTTGTTTTTTTGGTGTTAAGTTTTGTGAGTTCTTTATATATCCTGGAGATTATTGCTCTATTTGAGCAATTCTCCTTTGCTGAGAAGAAACTTTCTAGTTTCTTCTTATTTATTGATTCTTGATTTTACTTTTTGTGCTTTAGGAGTCTTGTTAAGGAAGTCAGTTCCTAAGCCAACATGATGAAGATTTGGGCCTACTTTGTTTTCTATTAGGAACAGGGTCTCTCTTCTAATACCTGAGTCTTTGATCCACTTTGAGTTGATTTTTCTTGTGTGCAGGGTGAGAGATAGGTTTAATTTCATTTTGCTACATATGGATTTCCAGTTTTCCTGGCACCATTTGTTGAAGAGGCTATCTTTTCCCCAATGCATGTTGTTAGTCCCTTTGTCTGGTATGGAAGTAACTGTATTTATGTGGGTTTGTCTCTGTGGCCTCTATTCTGTATCATTTGTCTGTATGTCTATTTTGGTGCCAATACCATTCTGTTTTTGTTACGGTGGCTCTGAAGTACCGTTTAAGGTCTGGTATTGTGGTGCCTCCTGCTTCACTTTTCTTGCTAAGGATTGCTTTGGCTATTCTGGGTCTTTGATTTTTCCAAATGAATTTCATGATTGCTTTTTCTAGTTCTATGAAAAATGTTATTGGGAATTTAATAGGAACTGCATTAAATCTATATAACAGTTTTTGTAGTATGGCTATGTTCACAATAGTAATTCTGACTATCCAAGGGCATGGGAGATCGGTCCATCTTCTAAGGTCTTCTTCAATTTCTTTCTTTAGTGTTCTGTCATTTTCATTGTAAAGGCCTTTCACCTCTTTTGTTAGATTGATTCCCAAGTATTTTTTTTTTTAGGCTATTGTGAATGGGGTAGTTTTCCTAATTTCTCTTGCAGAAGATTCATTATTGATGTATAGAAATGCATTTGATTTATGGGAATTGATTTTATATCCTGTTACTTTGCTGAACTCATTAATTAGTTCTAGAATTTTTCTGGTAGAATTTTTTGGATCTTCTAAATATAGAATCATGTCATTGGCTACTAGTTTGAGTTCTTCTTTTCTTATTCATTCCCTTAAATTTCTTTGTTCTGTTAATTGCTCTGCTATAGTCTCAAGAATGATGTTGAAAGAAAGTGGTGAAATGGGGCACCTTTGTCTTGTTCCAGTTCTTAATGGAATGCTTTCAATTTTTTTCCATTTAGAATGATGTTGGCCTTGAGTTTAGCATTTATAGCTTTTATAATGTTGAGGTATGTTCTTACTATCCCTAGATTTTCTTGTGTTTTGAGCATGAAGAGGTGCTATATTTTGTCAAATGCTTTTTCTGCATCTGTTGAGATGACCATATGATTCTGAAGGCTGTTTAATGGTATATTTTTTCACTTTTGTTTTTAAAGTAAAAAATAAATGTTTCATCTTGAGAATTATCACTGTCTTGAAATATAGTAGGTAGAACCAGGCAGGACTGTTCTTATCTCTTTTAGGACAGTCATGGAAAGAAAATGAAGTTATTATTCCCTGAGCTGGTTTGGAATCAGAAGAGGTTTGGAGTAGAATGAGCTTCAAGATAACCTACATCCAATATAAATATTTTCTGATATATACTGGAAGTAGCTTTGGACTGTAAGTCAGGAGATTTGCATTTTGGCATGGGTTCTTACTAATTTCCTGACTCATTTTGACTGAGCCATAGAGTTTGTCTTATTTCAGTGTCTTCTTTTGTTAAATGGAAATAATAATCCCCAAGGGGATTATCATCAGGACAAAATGAAACGATACACTTGTTTTTAATAGCATTATTTCTATGTAAGAATCAGGTTTATTTTTCAGGTGATTTTTTTGTGTCGTGATGGCTGAAATTTTTTTCTACAAATTTAGATTGCCAACGCATTCATTGCCTTGAAATAGATTATGGATATTTATAAGTCATTTTCTAAAAATTGAGTGTTTATACATTTTAATTTCACTGGGCAAGCAAAGACTCTCTATTTTAAAATGTAAATTTGTATCACCAAATAATTATTTCAGATTTCTCAACAGAAAGAATGGTGTTCAACATGCTCGAAGGCAAACCCAATCAGGAAGCTTCTAGTGCTTACACACAGTTTCAGCTGCTGCCTGACACTGGAAATGATGAAACTATCCCTCAAGCAGGGAAGAGGAAAGACTCTTCAGGGCTCTCTGAGAATGAGATTTCAACAGTTTGTAGTTAATGTGAATCATTGGTGAGAAATTTGAAGTAACTGGACCTTAAAGCTCCAGGTGGCAGCTAACTGGTTGACCAGCTGCATATAATTACAAACTTGGGCACAGTAGAATGTCCAAGTATATATTTTATAGATTCATATTTTAGTCAGGAAGGGGTCTTAGAGATTAATCTCTGCAATTTATAGTTAAGAAACTGAAACCCTGAGAGGTTAAGTGATTTGTTCACCCTCATAGTTCAAACACCACCAGAATTAGAACCTAGGTCTCATGGCTTCGAACCCTCTGCTCTTTCCATGTACAAGTTCCCTCCCCTCAACATGCAGTGGCAGGAACTACCAAGATCACAGCTGAGTCTTCAAATGCAATTAAGTCCACTTGGTGGACAAAGTGAATTTAATTGGACAAGGAAGACAACATGAACAAAATCTTATTTTGTTGGTGGCCATCCAAGTTGACAAGTTTTTAAGTGTGCTTGACCTAGGTAAATATAATGTCAAATGCTTTTTCTGCATCTATGAGATGACCATATGATTCTGAAGGCTTCTTAATGGCATATTTTTTTGTATGTGAATAGTGGTGTGCAAAACTGTGATGTGCATTATGAACTGTCTCCAGAGTAAACATTTTCCTTTGTAACATCTCAGGGTGTACGAATTGGATGTCCTGGCACCATTTGATTTCAAAACCAATCCTTCATGGCTCAATACAAATTATAAAGGTAATTATTTTAAATTTTAATCCTTATCAATCATCTGTATCTTATATCTGACGTCAAAAATTAATTAGGAAAAGTGCCATCAGAAGATGTTTAAATGGCTGCTTCTAAGACATAAGGTGATGTAAGTGGAGAAGAGGAATTAGAATTCTTGTATGAATTTTTATTTCCTGGTATTGTGGGTGAAGTTGTGTGCAATAAATATTTCAAAGAAAAAGAAGAATGACAATTTACTGATGTAGCAAAATGTTCCTGCGATATGAAATAGAAAGTGAAATTTTATTTGTGAAGAGTAGAGTAAAATACATGGTACCAGTCTGGAAAATTATACAACAGACTGTTACCTCCCATCTGGGATGACAGAGGACTTTCATTTTTCTACTTACACATTTCTGTTTTATATTTTTTTTCTTCCCAAAATAGTATAGGATTTGTTGCAGAGGAAATGTTTGAGAGCACAGTAAGATAGCTCAGGTTGACAACAATTAATTGGATATTGAAAAATATCTAGTAGAGAGAGAATTTGGAATGTTTCCAACACAAAGAAATCATAATGTCTCAGGTGATAGATATGCCGGTTACCTTGAACCGACCGTTACACGGTGCCCCATAAGTATGTGCAGTTACTGTGTGTCAATTAAAAAATAAAAGTATACAAATAATTCATTGCACAGGAAAAACAATAAGAAAGAATATGCCAAGTAAGATTAAACTTATCTTTTAAATTTAGTATTTGTGCTGAATTTATAGTTAGCTAAAACCTCATCTGTTGATAAGCCATATGTATGTTAATAAAAACAGCCATTTGTATTGAATATATGCCAAGCAGACTTGTTTTGAGGTTGCTCATGGTAAATTTGTCCCACTTTTTAAAAAGGAAAATTTTAATATAATTTTTCATTATAAAATAATACACATTAATGAAAGCTTAGAAAATATCTATAAGTAGAAAGGAGAAAAATTAAATCTTACTTTCTATGTATAATTATTCTTAATAATCTGATAAATTTCTTCCTACTCTTTTTTAAAAATGAATTGTCAATTCTTTAACCATTAAAAATTCATTAGAAAACATGGGATAATCTGTTTTTTGGGGGGGAAATATGCAATTATTCAAAATTACCCAAAACCAGATTTTATTTTTATTTTATTATTTTATTTTTTAGAAATGGTAGTACACTTAGGTGATCATTAAAAGCCCAGCATTTAATTGCTTTTTGATTTCTTTTATTTCTTGTTTCCCCTATCTTATTCTTTCTATAAATTAATTAATTCTGCAAATATTTATTGAATATCAATGTATTATGAACTTTGCTAATTAAGATTAGGGATTAAATGATAAAAAAAGTCCCTATCATCAGGAAACTAATCCTTTTTTATACCCTAAAGAAACCAGATTTTAAATATGATTTGCCTAGGAAACCTGGCCAGTTAAAATAACTGAATTAAGACAAAAAAAAATTTAAAAAAAGGTTTCAAACATCCTCTTCAAATGAGTAGCCTTGTTTGATGTCATTTGATTCAATTTTGAATATCAAATAATATGTAAGAACAACAGATATTTATTGTAAAGAGATACAAGGAGATCTTAACCCTCTCTTCAAGCTCTTCACTATTGAAGATAATTAAATTAACATTTTTTTTAATCAAGACTTTCCACAAATGATAAGGAAATAGTTACAGTAAAGCAAAGTTTGGGTGCATGTGGGTGTGTTGGGTAGAGGGAGAAATTTAAAACTCTCGTTAATTTAAAATCTTTGCCTTTGAGTCAGTCAGTGAAGATAGGACAATGTCACAGGCTTTCTGGAGAAGGCTATGTTTATACATAGCAAAGATTAGTGAAGATCCCCAGGATGTCTGACTCACTTTACGTTGCTTTTTCTGTTATGAAACATGAACATTTGTACCAAGATATCAATAAACCCTTAGCCTATTAAATCTTTAATTTTGGGCTCTGGGTGATAAGTGCCCTGACTCTTGAGGGTTGTTGCTTTGAGAATCCAGACTACTTGTTTAATCTTGGAGATAAAATATAAGAGTAATCTCTGAGCCTTGGGCTTGAATTTAGGTTCAGGTTTCTTTGTCTTGATAATTTTGTTAGTCAGGAGATCACTTTGAGCAAGGACACTGGAACTGCCCAGTTACACTATTTTGATTTCTAATTCTTTCCTTTGCATTGCAGAGAATAGCTCATCAAATCCTTTCATTTTAAATTAAAAACCTCCCAACAATATTTTGAAGTAGATAAGAGAGTACCACACTTCCAGTTTATGGGGAAGGAAATGGATTGATCAAGAGGTTAAAATCCTGCTCAACATCTTAGAACTCTTAAATTGTAGGATGCTGGTATATTAATCTCAAATTTTTAAATGTCCTTTAAAACAGACTTTCTTTTATATCATAAATGAAGTCTACATCCATATTCTCTATCAATATATGCAAATACGGTTTGTGCGAGGCTAACATCACTATCTCCAAGCAGCAACTAGTTAACCTAAAATATTCCTAAATGCTGATAGAAAAGGTATATTTATTTTCTTATAATGATGTGGAGGCTCTATGAATTATGTTTCAAGGAAGGAGTAGAGTGTGACAGGTGAGGTGATATTACTGTGATACTGCAGGAGAGCTCCTTCCTTGATTTTATGGAACATAACATGCTGATCTGATCAGTATTGGTCACATGAATGTCCGTGCAACAGTAAAGGAATGGTATGAATTCTCCATTCAATCTTTGAAGCCTATTGAGTTAAATACAATTGAAGAGGGACAAGAGTGATCCTTTAAAAAGATATCACCTGGGACTTGCTTGCCTGATGTCTTCTTGCTTACCCATTAGGCAAACACTGGTTTGCTGGTTAATAAACTACTTCTGCACAATAGGAAATAAGGTGATAATTTTATTTTCTGCTTTGAAAAATATAGTTTGCCTGTCTAGATTTATTAGTTCCTGAATTGTATGAACATACTAATCATTGGCTATGTTTTAAAAGGAAAGAAAAGTAATTTTTTATGGAAAGTAGTATTATTTACAAAGGGACTTTGGTAGTATATCACATATGTTTGTCACTTTAAAGTTTGATGTATTTCTCCTTTGAAACAACTGTAGTTTTAAAGAGCAATATAAAAGACAAGAGGCAAAAGGTTGACCTTTCACATGTTCCGAGCTCTTAGAGATTTGTGGTCCTGACCTGTAAATAACTATCTCTTTATACATGTTCAGGGAAATGACTCTGTGACAACCAGTGAATTTAGAAGTGCTTCCACCCACACCTGTCATTTATGAGGCTTTCTTTCATCCATGGTGATCAGTTATGTTTCCCAGATGACTATCTGAACATATCAAATTAGTACAGAAACACAAAGGAACTTATTTCTAAGTTAAACACAGCTTGGTACCAAAGAAAGATTAGTGTGAGTGTGTGTGTGTGTGTGTGTGTGTGTGTATGTGTGTGTGTATTTAAATTTATATATAATTAAATATATAAAATATATAGAGAGAGAGTTTATAATAATTCAGAACAAATTTCTTTCATTGATTTTATTAATTTTAGTGTCTCTTAAAATGCGATTTGCAATACAATAACAGATTGACTTGTATAGCTTATATTGTAACTTTATTTTATCTTCTAAAATGCTAAGTACTAAGAATATGAAGCACAAATTATATTATTAGCTATTTTTCTGCAAGTCTAAATTTAATTAACAGATAGAATATGTTAGAAGTTCCTACCAATATTTGAGGATTGGGTATGAGATGGAACATTGTAAAAGTCCTTACCAAATGCAGAATGCATTTTCATCGTCTCATTGTCAGCTGTAGTTCAGGACACTTAATCGCTCTAATCCCAAATAGTTATATTTTTCTTTTATTTGCAGTTCTTTTATTCTCAACAGAGGTCACCTACTTTGTTTGTGGATTGCTTTTTGCTCTGGTTGTGGAAGAGTGGGTTTGGGATTATGCTATTTCAGTAACTATTCTTCATGTTGCTATCACTTCAACTGGTAAGCAAAATAAAATAATGAAAACAGAGAAAATGTACTAAATCTCATGTTGTCTCCAAATCTCGTTCTAAGAGCATATATTCCTAGGATGATTAAAGTTCCTCCCTCCTCTGCTTCTCCTCCTCCCCACCCAAGTTCCTCTACCACTTCTCTTGGAGAGGTTTGACAGCTGCATTTTCTGATTGGGAATCCTACTGAAATGTTTCCTGTTCTCTTTCCATATTCAACGTGCCATCCACTATTAAAGGGTCTGTTTGCCCTCTGTAAGGAATATTTTTCATCCCAATTCCTTCTTCAGGTAAAAACTGACCAAAGACTGGGACATAGGACTCAAGGGAACCTTGACTGTTGGCAAGCCTGGGAACTTGCCAACAATGGTTATTTTAATAAGACTACCAGTTCTAAGGAGTTTTTCCTCTGTACCCGTGATCTTTAGAGTCAGAAAAAAAAATGCATTCGTTTTACCTTTACTTGGAGTGTATTCTTTGACAAGTCACATCTCTTATATCAGTTCTTTCCACTGCAAAAGTGAGGGACCTGGTGCAGTTTCATTAAGCTTATAAAATTGTCTGAAATGGAATCTAGTATAGCAGTTACTCAGTAAAGGATAGGTTTATCCATCCATTTATCTGATCATTCAAAATTTATTCTTCCAGTCTACTTTTTCTCCCTTTTCATCCTCCATTATTTATTTATTATTTTTGAAAAAAAGCATATTAGTCAAAGTGTGGGTGAGATCAAACTCAAGTTATAATTTGGCATTTATTATTGTTATTACCAATTTAAATCACTCATATCTTTAGTACCCTTAGAAGCACACAATTTCTAAATGAATTGCCACTTCCCAGCTTCACTGCTATTAGAGAATACCAGTATATTGATCCTCTAGCATCAATTTTCTCAGACACAACCCTCAGTAATTCAAAGAATCACTGATCCCCTCCCCACACCTCAGATTCTCTGTTTTACTTTAGGGCTCAAGTTTTCCTGCAAGGCAGCCACAGGCTAGCTGTTTGGAGGCATAAGGTAGTCCACTCCTCAAAGTTTAAATAAGCTATAGGTTTTGGATGCAGAAGTTATTAGTTAACAGTCTAACACATGGCATGCAGAAAATGCTTAACAAATAATTGCTTGATTGCTTGTTAGAACTGAGTTCAGAGTAAAGTGGTTCAGAATTCCAGAGGGAGCCAGGCATTGAGGATTCAATGCCTGGAACAAGAACAAGACTGCTGTAGGCTACTTCAAATCTACTTTGTGAGCTGACCTGAGACCCTGACAATTCAGAGCACCATTTTGAGAAGCCTTCCTAATATCTGACCTAACAAATAACTTTTAGACCATGGCTTAAAGACAAATTCAGGACGACCTGATTTCATAAATATGTATAAAATCTTTCTTTGGTATATGGGTATGATTTGACTGAACAGAAATACATATTTCTTCACCAGTGAAAAAAATAAGGCATACTTTGAAAATGAGTAACACCTTTTTATTTTTATTTTTTTCTATTGCAGTCATGTTGGAATTCCCCTTAACATCACATTGGTGGGCTGCTTTAGGTATGTTGGAATTATTCTAGTTTAGATTCTTTAATCTACAATGTTAACTGGAGTAAATTTAGGAAATAGATCTTATTATTTAGACATAGATTTAATTATATAATCATAATCTTTCTAAGTAATTCATTATAATTAATTATATATAATCATACTCTTTCTAAGATAATGATGACAATGATGATGTTTAAGGCATTGAAAAACCTCTCAGTTTTACTAAAGATGAACTCTACTGGTTGTCTCTTTGGCCCAAATATACTGTCCGGGCAACCCTAAAACAATCCACAACAGAGGTGTTGCCATCTTAACATGTATTTTAGACCAAAAGTAGATCAGTACATAGAAATAAAAGAAATTTGCTTGACCAGCAGGGTGGTGCACACCTGTAATCCCAGCAGCTCAGGAGGCTGAGGCAGGAGGATCACAAGTTAAGAGCCAGCCTCAGCAATGTAGTGAGGCCCTAAGCAACTTAGCAAGTCCCTGTCTCCAAAAATAAGAAGCATTGTGGGTGTGTCTCCGTGGTGAAGCATTTCTGGGTTTAATCTCTGGTACCCCAAACAGAAATTTCTTCTTCTCCTTAAGATAAATTTGACTTTATAAAGGAATGACATGGATTTTACTGTATGTATTGAGAAATATATAAAGTGGTAGGGCATGAAAGCCCAAAATACCTCTGGCAAAATTTTCATTAAGCTGTAGATTTCCTCAGCTTGCCTCCAAGTCTGACTTACACTATTTTTCTCTCCCTTTCTTTTCCCATTATTTCCCCTTTGCAGCAGGTAGTAAGTACTGAGCCACTATAAGCAGGGAAACCAGAATCGATCTACTTCCTCTGAAAAAGTGTTTTAGGGACATGTTTTGCACCTTTATTGGAATCCACAGACTCTTGATCACCCCCCACACACACATACACACACGTACATACAGGTGCCTCAACTGTACTAGTGAACCAGCTGGGTAGACTCAGAAGTGGCATGAGTCATGGTGCACAAAAGGCCTGAGGTCAACAAAGCGCTCTGCCTTTCCTAATGCAGTTCTGCCTTTTTCCTTCTCTGACATTATTTATTCTCACAGCTTCGTACCTAATGGAGGTAGGTTTCATGCTCCATCATGGGAATGACCTTCATTTATTCTTCTGAGACACAGCTCCCTTTAACTTCTTATTGGATACAACTTATCAAAATAAATCCTCTTTCAACATTCTTGGATCCTCAAAAGGTTGAACTTTTAGTGGGACAAAGAGGCTCATGATGGATACATCATCGGAGGGAACTGCCTTCTATGGGATGATTCAAGGGAAGTAGTCAAGACCCACGATGCCTTCTTTCTAAAGACAAAATTACAGTGAAGAGAGTGAGAACAATAAAACGACAATGTATTGAAACTTAGTTAAGTGTGAAAATAGCTTATATATAAAGGGGAAAAGAACATAAGAATATATAAAAGCAAATTAGCCTCTGTTCTTTTTTGTCCCCTATTAATACAAAGGGCCGAGACCTGTGACCTAGAGCAGAATTTCTCTGTGCAGATCATGAGGACTTTACTAAAATGCAATCAGTCTGGATAAGGCCCAGGTAAAAATGCAAGCATTGCTGGTTCAGGGAACATACTTTGAGTAGCAACAATACAGAGAATATTCTGAACTTTTAAAATTATTACATAATACCTAATTTGAAGCAAAATCAACACATTTTATGACTTGATAGTATTTTCACTTCTTAAAATTTTGAAGTTCTTGAAGGCATCTACATTTAATCTCTTTATTGTATCCTAATATCATCCTTTCCTAGAAGTAGAGTAGCCAGCCACATTCAGCTCATTCTTAGTTTTAAATAATCCAATCTATATGTTGTTTTCCTTAGAATACTCTTTTATGAAATAGGAAATCAAGATAAGAAACAGCAAACATAAAAGAAATGAGATTGTTACAATAACATGTTATTTGTATTCTTCCTTAATTATATTATGCAATAATTAGAAATTTAGGAAGGGAAATCAGCATTACAACATTACCATTTATTTCTGCTAATAAAGAAAAGCTGGATGCTTCTAAAAAGTTTTCAATACTTGCCAAGTTTGGAAACTATTTATTTATAAATCTGTTGCATTTGGCTTCCAAATACAAAGATTATATAATATCTCTAAAATTTTTTTTCTTCTTGATTTGGCAACAATAATCTTGTCTAATATCTTCAATCTGTTTTGAAAACAAACCCAAGCATGGTCTAGTATTGCCTCTCAAGTGTTTGGTTTTTTTGTTTTGTTTTGGTGCTGAGGATTGAACTACTCAAGTACTCAAGGTTGCTTTAACCACGCTCTGAGCTACATCCCTGGCTCTTTTTTGAGTTGGGTTCTCTCTAAGTTGCCAAGATTGGTCTCTTACTTGCCATCCTCCTTCATCAGCCTCCCAAATAGTTGAGATTACAGCTTTCAGCACCATGCCTGGCTTTGCCACTCAATTTTAATGGCCCACACAATATTAATAATACATTTATCAATCAGCTAATACAAGCCAGGGACATTGAATTTATCTCACTAACCTTTATTACAATTTTGTGTGATACCTATTATATTCTAATTCTATAAATGTGGAAACAAAAGTTTATTGAATTGGATGATTTAGCAGAGTTCCTTTAGCTGCTAAGGTGGGGCCTGTAACTAGCCTTTTCTTCTGACTTAGACTACTACCCAGAGCAATTTCTACTCCTAAGTAGAAATCCTGGAGCTCTCACTGCAAAGATGTGATGGTTGCAGTAATTTCTCCCATTTAGAAAACATACCAGGTAAAGAACAGAGCTCACAAAAATTTTGGGAGATAGTTATCATTTAGGCAAAGGAAACTGAAGAGAATATAGACTGATCAAGTAGAATCACAAGCTCTGACAAGACTTCCCAGTTCTATGACATTTTCACATCAAACAGAGTAAACAGATAAGACATAACATAGAAAGAACACACACACACTCTCACACACACACATAAGATCAAAGTGTTTGTGTCTAAACTCAGTTGGAAATAGCACAGTGCTGCTTACCTTCTGGAAAAGTAAATTACAGAATGGCTGATGTTTCATTTCCAATATTTAAAACAAAATTGAAAAAGCTAAAGTGCTCATAATAAAAATTCAGCCCCCAGCATGGCACAGAGTAGCATGTAGCAGAGTGTCAGTAAGCATTTGTTGTGTCAGCATGGGGAGAATGAAATGGAATGAAATGAGGTAGCAGAGGTTTTCCTGGAATGCAGTAAGTATATTTGGGCTCCTGACAGAGAACACACTCCAGTGGACTACCAAGAGAGTCTGCTTAATCTTTACCCTGAGAGGGTTCAAAATGAAAACAAAATTTAGAAAACTAAAATAAACTTCCCCCAAATCCAAACAATATTACCTGTCATAGGTCATTTTATATTTATGCAAATATAACATAGTATATCATTACGTTATTTATATATCGTATAGTATTTATATGATGTAAATATAAGCATATACATAGAAAGTGGTACTATAAAAAATACTTTCATGTGGGCCAGATAGTTAAACCAGAAGAATATGCAAAGACTACCATTATAAAATTACAGGGAGTAAAACACTGGACATATATTTGTGACACATTCTCTTTTCTTCATGCTTGGCGCTCTTGTCTTTAGAGTAGTACAAGAAGCAGTGAAGATATTTCCATTATTTTTTCTTCTCACAGATTGAAACTAATTCATCAATCGTATATTTAGTAGGAAAATTAACCAAGTGAAAGCTTCTTATTTAGTCCAGTGTAATTCTATTACCTTATGTGCCTTCATATCCTGTTTAATTCTCCACTTTCCATGTCTTGGATGTGAACTTTTCTCCAGCTTTTTTCAGTACATCCAGAAAATACATGTAGAAAGTACTGATGTTTTTTTTTTTTTTTTTTGGTGTGAGTCCTGCAAAGATGTAAATTTTTAATATCTTGGGGAAAGATTTTAAAAGACATACTAAGAACTTTGTGTGCAATTAATCAAAACGCATGCTGCTGTCATATATACCTAATTAAAATAAACAAAAATTTTTTAAAAAGAAATACTAAAAACTGTAAGAAGAAATGATCTTTTCTCTCTGAAAAATAAGAACCTGTCTCTGTGGATTTCATTGGGAATACCACAGAATTTACTGTGCCCTAGCCGAAGCAGTCACATGACAAAGGCCACCTGGACTGAAAGGAGAGTTGACATAGGCATGATAGAATGGCCAAGAGGATTTAATGGGGTGACTATTTTAGTTTTAGTAACTGGGGTTGAATTACTCGGAGTACAGTTACCGCATGGCATCTGACATGGCCTTGTTTTTGTTTCTTGAGCACAAATGTTAGATGTAAGAGACCAATGGTCAGCCATCTTCAAAATGATGTCTCGTGGTCTTCCATCGAACGTGGTTCTTTCTGAGAGGAAGTTAGCAGTCCCAGTGTTCTTACCTCCGGGAGCTTTACCTTTCAAGGGCATTATGTTGTTACTGCCCCCACAAGGAACAACAGATTTATGAAAGCTCTTTAATTGGATCAATATTGGTCAAATCAATATTTTAAAACAAATAAGAATCACTGGGCCAATGAAACCAGAACTAAAGCATTGTCATAAAACTAAATAACTCAGGTATGTAGAATTCTGGTTCTTGAAATCTTTTCTATACTTAAAAGTCAGCAAGCATTTTTTTTTTCTTTTATAATTAGAGGAGAAAAGACCTTAGTTTGTGTGTGTACACACTCATACACACACACACACACACACACACACAGTAACAATACAGATAAATGGAACATTTAAGCACAGAAAGTATTGGGAATTGTGAATTCCTTGGCATGTGCTTCGACTTCATTGTCTTTGAATATCTGAGTTTTAAGAGCTCCTTCCTATTGATCTGCACATACTCTCTGAAGGAAGTTCTAAATTTTAACAGTTTATCAGCTTTACAATATATACCTCCCCTCTCTTAGCTGAATCTATAAACTGTTCTATTTCAAAAACGATGTCAGTTACAGAAACATTATTTAAGTCATGGCAATTGTTCTTATTCATAATCCTACCTATGAATTATTCATTACTGGTAGTTAACCAAAACTTTCCTTTCATTTATTTGCAGGAGCCGGCTTAATTTCAATGATATGTGGAGGCCAGACTTTAGCATACTGTTTATTCAAAGACAACTTTATATATCCAGATCTGGGTAATTTTTAGCAGTACAGATGGATTAATTTGCCTCAGAATTTCTATCCTGTAACATATATTACATCAAAGTTAAATTTTACTTTTTGTTTATGTTCAAGGTTGAATTTGTTTAGTATACTTTATAACAATAAACGAGAGATAAATGGAGAGCAGAACAATTCTAGTCAACAATTTAAGAGCATAGTGTTGCAAACTTATAAAATGCAGCGTTTCCCAAAGTGTGTTCCACAGAACACTGGTTCTGAAGAATGTCTGTAATGCTATACAATGGGGGAAAGTTTTATGTTTAAGTGCATTTGTGGAATCCTGGGTTTAAGTACAACAAAACTCATTTATTTCAGCATTTTTCAGGAATATTTGACACACTATTGTGAACAAGTCATCCATTTTTTTTGGCAAAGACATTCATTTGCCCACTAAGAAATGTCATGCTAATATTCCATATTCCTTGTAACCTTCCCAAAACTATGTTGTTTTAATTGATTACTTCTTTAGAAAAATTAAAGTATAATATACATTATGCTTCTCCAATGTGTTTGATTAGAGACACATTTTAGAAAATATTGGTAAATAGTATGGAAAATGTAACACAGAAATGGGCAGATTCAAAACTGCTGCCAATCTCTGCAACCAGAATTAGATTCTATTATTGTCCCACATTATTTACTCTAGGTTAGAGCATGTCTTATGAAATTACTAGTTTTTGTTTTAATATCTGTATCTATTTCTTTCTTTAGACTGTAGTCTTCTAACATAGGGCTTCTCAAAATCTAATGTGCATTTGATTTGTCTGGGGATCTTGTTAACAGTGCAGATTTTGGTTCAGAAGGGAGGATGATAGAGTCCAAGATGATGTACTTCTAACAGTTCTCAGGAAATGCTAGTGTTTTAGGTCTATGGACCACACCTTGAGTAGCAAGGATATAAGTGGTTTGGATTATATATATTTTTTTTAGTTTGTATAGTTCTGTATTACCAGTTTGATAGTTCTTCTATTATTGTCATGCAGTAAGTACTTATTTATTTGAATTTAAAGCAAGGTGAGTCACTTTATATAATTGTCTTAAATATTTACTACTTTCAATATAGCTAAAATAATATGCTAATATAATAGTATGAACATACAAAAAGGGACAGGAAAGTTACAGTCCCATACATTCATACTCACAAATTTTAGGAAACAAAAAATAAACTAGACCATATTTTAGAATTTTCTCCCTGATGAGACGTTTTACCCTAAAAATCCTTTTCCTTCATGAAGACATCCATTCACCTACTAAGCAGTGCTGTGGATAATTTTATATATTTCA